GCCGGTGTATTTTCTGTTTTAAACACTGGACATTTATTTAGAGTCTTTAGAGCCCATACATTATTGAATATTTTTAATTTATCACATCCAAATATAATAGGCAAATATATAATACAATAAATTGCATTTATACACATAAATACAAAATTTGAGGTAGGGCCTCAAGAATAATGATTTCTTAAATTAATAACATACAGCATTATAGTATGCACTACATGAGATATATGTGATGCATCCTTTGTAACATAATATAGCTTCTCCACCTATAGCTAATGAAAAAATTATGACAACTTGGTTAGGGGTACAAATCTTTATCCATAGGCAGCAGTACCCCATAGAATGCCTGTAAATATATATATATATTTATATATGACATTACGCAAGTAATTAAGATTTAACCCATCAGCGATGGGTCCGTAATAAAGTGCCATAGGACACAGGGCGCAAATTCTCAGCCGGTGTAAATTGTCACAGCTCCAAAGCAAGCTGTGACAATTTATACCAGCTAAGCATCTACCTTACAAGGTAATACTACATAATATAAATGACAGATAACAATGTGTTTTAGTCAATCAACAATTTTCCTAACAATGGAAGATAGCTATAAGGCAAATGGTTACCTGAAGATGTAGTTAAATATTATGGGCAAATAATAATATTGCAAGCAATAAGGTCCAGCCCAGTTCTCACATTATGCTAAACCCATCAGGAAAACCTTCTCCCTTTGGTGACAGGCTGCCTGAGGGTGACAAAGGCAGAAAACCCACATACCCCTACCCCCCGCCCCCCTCCAGTCATCAACCTGAGTTCCTCGGGAATATCAAGCTCTGACCATTTGGCAGGTATCTTATGTGCACACCATTTAACTACAAACTAAGAAACAAGTGTCTCCTGCAAGAGCGTTACCAGCAAAACAGAGATGCTTTCTGGGATGCCACTTGCCAAAGCTCTGCAGCCTGCAACCCACAGTCCCTATGAGTCTGTCTTTGATTGCAAGAAGAAGTGGAGCTGCAGAATAAGAAACCAATAGGAAACAAATGTTTGCCATAAATAAGCAATTGCTTTAACACAGGCAACAAGAAATCATATTATCCATACAACTGTACATATATTCAAAAAGACCGAAGCTATTTAAAATAAATCAGGCGTTGGAATTTCATGGGAAGAGATAGCTGCACAGTGTATCGGAAGCAATGATCTTCAGTGCTGAGGCACATCTAACGTGGTCAGTGGAGCAGAACCTAATCAAAAGACTACTTTGACCCAATTGGAACATCATATAAAGACAATCCAAGGCTTTCGCAATTAAAGGTCATTTTGTTAAACCCTTCTTTTGGAAACAAAGTGCTGCCATGTCTAGCTGAAACACAGGTTTTGAAAATTGCATATTAAAAACACTAGGAAGACCCCAAAGAATTTGAAGATGGCAAGCATTTGCATTAGGTATAATCTTTAATGCATACGATAATGCATCTCAGCTCATCAGAAATTCAATTTCATTTCAAAGAAAAAATATGCAACATAAGTAATTTCACCAAATTTGAACATTTTTTACTCACAAGATAGATCTGCAAGTACGTACATCACATTTTTTACTAATATGGCTTTTTCCCCTCCTTTTTTTTTTTTTTAAATATCTTTACTGGTTTTTAATTAGTTACTAAATTTATTTTTAGAAAATTATCAAAGTGCATGCAAACTTTTCGTAGAACATGGTATATGAAGTGCATTCCCAAACTTCAAGGTTATTTCTCATTTAAAGAAGACACTGCTGGTTAATTTAATCTCAACATTCAGATTTGGCCAGTAAAATACTTTAAAAAAAAGTCTAATGTGGAAAAAAAAGTCTGCACTTAACATACATTGAAAACTTCATATCTTCTGTGATTTTTGTATGCATTTCTCCTCCCTCTCCAAATGTTTTTGCAAGCCTGGGAATGGAGGTCAAAGCTGAAGACAAGTATCAGCTAGAACAAAATCACTATCATCTGTTTTCAGAGTTTCAAAGTCAAGCCTAATTCTGTGCTAATGACTTAGCAGGCACAGGAACAACATCTAAATTAAAAGCTAGCAGATTAATTACATAAATCATGGAAAGCAATTAAGTTTTTCATATGCATTCTGGTTTGGTAATCCAAGCCAAAGAAAAGATACCATAACCTAGCATTATTCCTTCAAAGGATTTCTCTTTTATGCTCAAGGTAGACAGTAACTGACATCCTTACACTGAGGTAATTTTATTGCAATTAGTTAATCCCAGTTCCAATGCATGTCCTGAGACAAGTTAGTAAGTGAAAGGATTCAGAACTGTTAAGCGATTTGAGTGTGTTTTCTTTTTTTAAGAGAGGAACAAACCTACAGATTTATTTTTTTTTTTAATCACAGTAGTAATGAAGAGAAACTGGCCTGGACTCCAAAAAACCAAATCAAGACGCTAGGTAATGTTGGTGAAGAGAGGCCTAAAGCTATTTATCCTGACAAAAATACCTAATTCCCACTGGAAGTGCTGACTTAGGTTCCTTTCTTCACCCACAGAAGGTCCCTCAGTCCCACATAGACGTGGGGGCCAAATTTCCAGCTCATCTTTATGGACCTTCATTACATCAAACAGAGCGTGGCTTCTCAAACCTGCCTCTGACGGGAAAATAAAAGCCAGAAGTAAGAATAAAGAGCCCCTTTTTAAAAGAGGAGGTAAAGCTGAAACAAGGGGGCACAGCTTTAAGGCAGAGAAGCTCACGGAAGGATCCCATCTTGCTGCCATGCGAGACGGGGACCGACAGAGCCCGTGGATTGGGGATTCAGAGGCCAGCACAAAATGGTACAAAATCTGCCCTCAGTTTGCTCAGTGACAACCCCCGATGGTGCTTTGCTTGTCCTGCATGAGGATTAAAGGTCTCCAGCAGTGCCTAGAACTGGCAACACTAATTGCCCCGTGAAAGAGGAAGTTCAGCAAAATGATTAATATATTTAATATACATATATATATACACACACACGAGAGAGAAAAGAAGTTAACCATTTATGGAAGTGTTACAGTAAGGTTTAGTTTTCGTTTTGTTTTCTTCAGCGGGATGAAACATGTCTACTGATCTACAGACACACATTAACTGAAGATTTACCTGAGACCCTGTAATATGCAGACAGACAGACAAAAAAATGGGATAGAAACAGTCCCCTGAAAGGAAAGAACATTTACTGGCGACTACAGTGATGTGTGTGGGGAGGGGAAAAAACAGGCTAAACTACTCTAAGCTCACCATCTCTACACTGATTGATAAGATATTTATAAAGACATAAAACATCACTAGTACACACTACATGAACACTGATCACTTAAAAAATATCATATATGTATGTATAGGATATAACAAGATAGTAAAGGTTACAGTTTTGCCAATTATAGAAGATATATTTTTCTCCCTCATTCTAGTGCATTTACAATAAATTGGGTTAATTTTCTATTCAGGTAAATAAATGTACTCTTAAAAAGCTCTATTTTTACTCTGCCCAAGAGATTAGAAAACTATTTAAGTCTAACATTCATATCACCTCTTATATTTGATTTCTAAAACTTAATGATTTATAATGTCCTATTGCTATGCAATGCTATAACGGCCACCTACTAAATTGTACTCTCCCCCCAACCCTCATGTTTTATATATGTAGCGTCGCATCCAAGAGGATGGCTGCAGTGGTTAATTGTTGGGTTTTTTTGGTTTTTTATTTAATGAAAATGTTTTAAAAGTAAAAAAAAAAAAAAAACCCAAACCAAAAACCTATGTACATTTCAGAGAGAATACTGCTTTGAAGAATTTACGTGCTATATATATAATATATAGACAAGTGGGGTTCTGCTATTTCCCCATGAGTTGAAAGAGAAGAATACATCTAAAGGTTATATAAAGATGTTTATAGGAGAATGAACGGGGAGTCACAAAGTCGAACAGCACATCTAACAACTGTTGTCAGGTGGTAACTAGACTACACTTACCACTGTAAGAATACAAAGTTAGGCACAAATTATATGATGGCTTCTTGAGGAGCTACTGTAAACAAAAGCAGAGAAACAAGAAAACCATGTTCAGAGTACTAAAGTGAGTAAAACCACAGTTGCACTTAGTGTGGAGCAAGGTTTCAAACGCTTTGCATTACTGAGGCATTTTTAATTGAAATTACAGGTATCAAGTTGTCAAAGGAAATATATGATGGTATTTTAAACAGTGATGCCCATACACCTCAGTCTGGCACCATTTCCAAACCACTTCTAGACTCAAATGCGGTTTAGTCCCAATCTCAAATTATTAGTTCTTTTAATTTTGCTTTCATTTTTCTGCTTGAAGAGAGCAAATGGATTATTGTGTTTCTGTTCTGATGCCACATATTGCTTCCTGGTGTGCTGTTTAAAGGGTCTCTGCTTGTTTAAATAATGAGTCCTCAAAATTAGTATAAATCATTAAAGAAGCGTGCAGACACAACAGGTCAAGGTGTACTGTCCATGTAGACAAAGTGACCCAGCATAGTGCGACAGCCTTGTGCTGGTTTTACACCAGGACTACAGGACATCCCTTTCTTTGCTCGCTTCTATCTCATCTGATGGCTGAACTTCCCTTTGATTACACTGGTAACAACATCCTAGTGCCATCGTATCCACCTGCTCCAAGGATGCTTGCATGAAACAAGTCAAATTCTGCACGTAATTTCCTTAAAAGATTTTTTCTGGCACATTTGGTTTATTCCTACATAACCTGGCAAAACCTGGTACGTCACCCGTTGTGCAACACACTTTTGCTATTTCACCGGGAACAGAACACGTCATGGGCATCACCTACACCTGGAAGTGGTCTAGCTAGGTCTTCCCTATGGCATGCAACAGTAAGTCCTACTTTCCTAAGCAACCACTTTCAGGCACTGCAAAAAAGAAAAGGCAAAACAGTGGGGAAACAAAATGGAAAAAAAGACCAGAGAAGGCTGACAATGTTATTGCCACCCCGTAATAATTATTAGCATTGGGTCCCCAGTTCTATATCCTTCACTGGCAGTTTAAGTCCCAGGGAAGAGGTACCCAGTGGATCAATCATATTCATGTAACGTTCACCACGGTGCTTGGCCAAAAACGGACCCCAGTCCGGCTGCGGAGAGCACACCAACTTGAGTCGCTGCAATGTAGGGGAGAGAAAAGAGAGTCTCATTTGGAGTCGCGGAGGAGAATTACAATGCAGAAGAAATGAGGGTAGGCTCATTTGAGGTTATTGATGAAGGTCCTGCAATGCTCCACTGCTCAGTGTTTGGTTTGCACAAAGTTTGCTAGATTAATAGAGGATAAAGTGCCCAGATTTTAATTATACATTCTCCCCCGCACCATATGAGGGGAGCTCAGAACCACTGCTACAGTTTGCGAGGCTCACTTACTGAAGGACATGTACGCAATTTCTTAGCCCAATGGTCTAAGCAGTGGGTAACTGCATTAAAATAATTGGATTTCTGTTTAGCATATTTCCCAAAAGTATACAAATGACCAAAAAGTACATTGCTATGAATGAACAAAGATTTTAATTTTGAGATGACAAAATGTTTCATTTCTGTCTGCAGGAAAAAAGAAAGAGGAGAACATTAACCTGGCAAACAACAAAAATCTTCTAATCTTTCCACTGATTTCTTTATTGAATATATAATTTGATTGGCGCATTTACAGATAAAAAGGAGAGAAAACATATTTCTGATGACTTAAGAGGGAACAATTATATGTTTATTACCTAATAAAGTGAATCAGACCTCTATATCGGTTATTTTAATCTCTGCTTAATTACCAGCTTGCAACTCTTACCTCCCAAATCAACCATAATAGTTTTATGCGGCAGAGTTGATATTCAGGAAATACTGAGCTACAACTGAAATAGCTTTAGCAAAAGCCTCTTCAAAACAGATCCAACTTTTCGGTGTTTCTTTGGGTGCACAACTAAAGGGACAGCAAGGAGAGAACCCTATTTTGCGGCAATATGTATGCCAGTACTACACCTGTAAGTTCGAAGGTTTGAAGCAGAACAATTCATCTCAATGAGACAAATGTAAGAGACAATGAACAAGTCAGTCTAATTTCACATCAGCTCATTTCCAGCAGGAGCAGTTGTCTCCTGACTTGGGCACACCACACACACTACACAAGGGCTGAATGGCCCTTTAGACAAGTGGCCTCATTGCCTAGTGCCACCATGTACTTGGATGCTCTCCCTAGGGTGTTCCACCACTTAATATTAAACTCCTTTGCTCCCTGTGAAGCAGAGAAGCGTCGTCTTTTCCCTTAGGCATGTGTAGCTTGACATATTGAGAGACCAAAAGATTATTCTGCTTTAGTACATTTTCTCCTCTTTTCATTTTTGAGTCATATAACAGCCCCAACGGGTTTTGCAGGAGAGCAGAAAAGGGGGATGTGAGCGTCTGTTCTTTATCCCAAGGAGAGAGCAACACAAGCAGTGTGCAGCGAGGAGAGGACAGGACTGAGAAAGCCTCAAAGGCCAAAAATGAGACCATTGAACTTCTTCAGATGGCAAGGTGAAGGCAATGAAGGGATGAAACGTTGGCATTCTGTACTGCACATTGCTGTACTGCACCCTGCAACAAAGTGAGGAGCCAGTGGGATGGAAACAGCCAGGGAGCAGTGGTGGTGGCAGCTGGGGTGGCAGGCAGTGCCGGGGCACAAGGACAGGGAGCAGAAGGGGACTGATGCATTTCTGGAGTGGTGAGGAGAAGGGGCAGGTATCTGATTTGCAAAAGAAACAGAAGCAGTATAAAGGGCCACCTGGAATTTTTTTAAGCCTAGGTGCCAGAGACAATCAGCTTAGAGAGATGAAGAAGGAGGAAAAGAAAGATTTTCAGCTAAGTATTATAAAGAGTAGCTCAAGCTGTAGAGCATGACATCTTATTCCTGAACTTCGTCAAGCGGCACAACCTCCCAGAGTGCATCCCAGGTGACTCAAGTACCCGACCATCTTGTGCTCTGCAAATGGGCAACTCCTGATTGACCTCTCCTAGCACCAACTGCTGGGCTTGCCACGACACCATGCACACTGGCACACCAGCCATTGATGCTTCCTACATCTATGCATTGCTTTTGCAAAAAGGCCAAAGCTTGGAGAACAACTTGCTCTCATTAACACCATGCTAGGGCTTAGGAAATCTGTAACTCCTTCTAGTTCTTATAAAAGCAATCACTAAACAATTTAGGAGCATTTTTTTTTTTTTTGAGGAACAAGGAATAGAAGGTCTGCATTTTAAATCAACTAAGCATCTCTTTGCAACACAATAACTAGCTTACCAGAAAGTAATCTTAGCACTCTTAGACATTCAATATCACAAAAAATCAATGTAAAAATAAAACAGTCTCCTGTGACCATATTTTTAAGCAGCAAAAAAGACAGAAGGATTACCTCAATAAATTTGCCTGGGGCCAGATGCATTTTTATCACAAACATAACTGGGATCCAGATAACTGAGCAGGCCAGCATCAGCCATCCAAGCACCATGGACCAGCCCGGATAGTGGTAAGCTCCATAAGTCATTGGTTCCCATTGGTAAAAACTGAAGCAAAGAATAAACTGGAAACAGGGAAGGAAAACAAATATGTTTGAATAAGCAAAACAAGCCTGCTATGCAACAAATGGTAGGTATCTGCACGCAGAGTTGGTACATAAGGAATACAGCTCAAAGTACACACACCTAAGGCAGGGCGCTCCCACAAGCTGTGATAAACAGGTCAGAGACTGAATCTAATGAGTTTCATGGAAATCTTACAGAATCCCACAAAATTCACTGTATTTATGCCAGAAGAATTGAAATTTGAATCTTGCCCTTAGAGTAACATGCTTTATTACATGGTCTATTGGCAGTTTTACCTAATGTGATTATGCTAAGTTACTCCATTTCACTTACCGTATGAATAGCAATACATCTGCTTACATTTGTGCATAATTCAGTAACTTTTGGGAAATGCCTGTGCTCACAATAATTGCACACAGAAGATTTATAGCAGTATAACTAGGTGAAGGCACATATAAAAATGATCAGTTTTATTTCCAGAGATGTGGAGTAATTGGAAGTCTAATATTAGACTATCCAAATATATCAAATATTAGCTTTACAGAGGCAATAATAGAAAAGAATGTATTGCTTGGTTTTGCTTTGTCTGTTTCCATTGCATAAAAATTGAATTATGGCTGATCAGTGTCAATTTATTTCTCACCGTAAGTTCACTAAATATTACACTTGGAGGGAACAACAACAGAATGTGCAAGTTTGAACTGACCTCGTTGGTCTTCCAAATGTTCTTTGCTTAAGACACAATATAATTTCCTATTCCCTGGTTGTGATTACTGGCAGTGGCTAAGAGTGCCAGTCTGATCAGTAAAGGAACTGAGCAATTTGCAGAAAAGCGTTACGATTCCCTTCAGAATTGTAACAACGGGTCTAAGGCAGCATCTTGAAAACAGCCATTGGAAGAAAAAAAGATTTAAAAAAAAAAAAAAATACGTGCACACGCCTTTGTTTTTAACAAGGCCCTCAAGAGAAAAAATACATCGCCATTGATGTTACCCTACTACTATAGATTAAACAGGGCTATGTCTTCAAGCATTTAAACATGGATTTACAAACTATACCTATATGTTGTCACAGTCAAACAACAGTTGCCACTGGATAGGTGAGAGAGCTCTACCTGTTTTTCATGCACAGCAATAATCTACTTCAGTGAAGACAATTGGTAAAGAGAATCTATGCGGGAAGGTAGACCTCCTTCGTTAGGCCCGCTGGAGGAATTGTTCTTATTGTAGAAAGTTTCTTTTCCTTGCAACTCAGGATGTTGTTGGGCTCCCCAAAACTCACTAGTCCCTTCGCACATGCATTCCTGTGCAACAACTAAACCTTTTCAGTTTTCAGAAAAAAAAAGCAAACTAATTCCCAAATGAACAATACCAAAAAGAAATTACCAACTTTATCCAGAGACTTTTTTCCCCTCCCCAGAAATAAAAAGATTTACCAACGTTTACACTGCACTAAAGAACAGCACAAATAGGAACTTCTCAGCACATAAGCTGAAATATATTTTCTCTGGAATAAGTGACTGCAAAGGACCATAGGGTCACCAAAAGGACCATAGGGTCACCATTTTGCTTCTTCACCCCACCAAGTTGACGCCATACTTAACCATTTCAAACTGTGTGTTTTACCAGAAATTCTAGTAACTTTTCTTATCTTGTACCTAAAAATCTATGAAGACTCGTAGGAACTATCTAGCACTGCTGTGAAATGATGGGGTTTTAAAACCCTACACAAATACTGATAATCTTGCTGCACCTGTGGTCCAGGCCTGAGGAGTTTCAGGCTGACACACATTCTCGCAAATGTAAAATGTGAAAGAAGGCTCGGTTGTTTTATAGTGACTTGTCAGGCTGAAGGCTTTTGGAATGGCTACAAGTATTATTTCATTCTTGTGCTGAAACATAGAATTGTTCAGGTTGGAAAAGACCTTTAAGATCATCAAGTCCAACTGTTAACGTAACACGGCCATCCCACCACTAAACCGTGGCCCTAAGCACCTCATCTACCCATCTTTTATATACCTCTAGGGATGGGGACTCAACCACTTCCCTAGGCAGCCCATTCCAATGCTTGACAACCCTTTTGGTGAAGAAATTTTTCCTAATGTCCAATCTAAACCTGCCCTGGTGCAACTTGAGGCCGTTTCCCCTCATCCTATTGCCCATTACCAGGGAGAACAGACCAACCCACATTTCGCTACCCCCTCCTGTCAGGCAGTTGTAGAGGGCAATCAGGTCTCCTCTCAGCCTCCTCTTCTCCAGGCTGAACACCCCCAGGTCCCTCAGTCGCTCCCCATCAGCCTTGCACTCCAGACCCCTCACCAGCTTTGTTGCCCTTCTCTGGACATGCTCCAGCCCCTCAATGTCCTTCCTGTAGTGAAGGGCCCAAAACTGAGCACAGCATTCAAGGTGCAGCCTCACCAGTGCTGAGTACAGAGGCACGATCGCTTCCCTGGTCCTGCCGGCCACACTATTCCTGATACAAGCCAGGATGCCATCGGCCTTCTCAGCCCCCTGGGCGCACTGCTGGCTCGTATTCATGATAGGCAGTTAAAGACTGTATCTGCACCCAGGTTAAAATGTAAAGGAAGCAACATGTTAGAGAGCTAGATAGTAAACATCAATAGAGTTGTTACACTTTGGTTCTCAGACTTGGTAACGCATGGGCAGCAAGGCTACGATTGCAACCGTGCCCCCTTTTAGGTGAACTGGACATCTGAAGTGGGAGTAGGGCATCCTGCCGGGGTTTGGGGTGGGAAGGGAAATTTGGGAAAGAGAAAGAACAACAAAAAAACCAAAACACAATCTTATTTTAGATTTCAAATCCCTTTTCGTATTATTTTAAATAAAAAAAACAAAACTGGAAACAGACATGAATTCCAGGAAAAAGGAGGGCAATGTTCTGGATATTGAACAGTGTCAGAGGAGAGATTTGGTTTTTTGTTTGTTTTTTTTTTTTTTTTTTTTTTTTTTTTTTTTTAAAGAGAAACCGAAGTGATTTGTATTTGTTAGCGACAACACAACCATCGCGGCCTTTGCAAAAGTATCTCCACCTTTGCAGCTAAAACGTTGTCCCTCGCATTTCCACATGAGCCTCCCCGCAGCACGTCTCAGATTAGTCAGTTTATGACCCAGTAAAATGGTTTTTCCCTAGCTCAGCCTGAGGACAGAGAGGAAGACCATGTAATTCCCTCTCCATGTGTATATATACATACACATATACCACATCCCCACCCCTATACAATAAATGCTGCAAGGCAATGGTATCCCATACCGGCACTTTGCACAGACAGGGAAAGGCTACCGCAGCAACGTGTGGAGACTCACCATCCCTCTCTGCCAAAAATACCATTACTTACTCTCCGTTGCGTCTGCTACGCACACGTGCAAGAACGTACGTGCACACACGTGACTGGGTGTCCAGGTCCCTGCACCCAAGATCTACTTACTACCATCCAGAAACATCATGAATGATGAAGAAACAACAAGAAAACTCTTTGGGGAAGGCATTAACAAATTTTTTTGCTTACTGTTAAAATAGTTGGGGTCACAAAGGCCCAGCAGACTCTCCAGAATTTACTTGGCTGGAATCCAATCATCATCTCTATATCTTCACAAAACCTTTGCAATCCTGTAAATAGCAAATGTAAATGCAATTAGGTGTGAAAGAAACCAGCTGCCATTTGCAACATAGCTCTTGTGACCTCCCTCGTGTCTAACTACAAAAACAAACTCTGACTTGCTGGTTGAGAACTTCGGTGGAGGATCTAACACACAGTAAAAAAAAGGAGATTATTATGGTGGGAACCATTCTAATAAAATAGTTACTTCCTAAGGAATAAAACAAAATTGAGCTTTTATGTAGAGATTAAGTGCTTGGTAAATTTTGGGTTAAAGCATTAATATTATGTACTGGTAAGCTGCAATGATGTATACGCTTGTTAAATATTTCACGGTGAAGATGAACCTAATTAATATCTGTATACCTGTTTCAGCATAGACAGTATCTGAGCTTCTCTATACCTACTGCGTGACAGGGTACCACTGTATACGCTGTTAATTTTCAACTGATAGTAAGCAATACTTAGAATTATTAGAGAGCACCTGCAAATATTTTAAATTATGTTCAATGTTGTTGGAACAAACAGATCGACTGACGTGTTAATTCTTCAGGTTATCGTATTGATTGCATCCGTAAAGTTAGTTGAGTTAATAAAAGACACAAGCTTGGAAAATGGTGTTTCAGCCATCCCGGCCATGCTGTGGATGGAAAGGGTGTGCTGGCTGCTATCGCACATCTGATAAAAGCCAGGCTGCTTCTCAGCCTTGTTCTGCAGAGCTGTTTAGGTTAATTGGCCCCTACTCAGTACAGCTATTAGTAATTTGTCCAAAAATAATAAAAACAAAATTGAAATTTGTTCCAGCTTTTCTAATGATGATAAGAAGAGGCAGGTCTGGGGTCCAAGGCTAAGCTCATCTACCACACAAACATTTTAAATTTGGGACAATTTTTATTATTATTATAATTATATTATAACTAGTATTATATTTGTTATAATAATTATCATTATTATTGTATTCTATTAGGCTTGTTTTATAAAGCAGGCGATCATCTCTGTTATTTAAATTTTACAGAGCATTATTCTACAGCATTCAGTCTAACTTTTCTGATGTGAGTGTAGGGATGAAGCTTCAATAGTGGAGAGAAATCATTGAGCAAGGGAAGAAATACCTGGAACAGAAGTAATAACCCGCTTTATGTTCTTATTGCCCTTAGAGCCGGCCACTGCAGCTGCTGAATACAGGGATAATCCCTAGGCTTGATCCACCAAATTTTAAAGCTTTTCTGTTGATATCAAGGAGAAATAAATCTATCCATCTGGCTGTTCCAAAAATTAAGAAGGTATAAAATAGCGATGGTTCATTATTCAGTGCCTTCTGATGCACCTCTAAGATGGTGCTAGGACAGCCCTGAAGGCCCAGCTCAGAGGCTAAGCACAGAGTAAGCCAGTTCGGGCAGATAGCATGGCAGAGAAAAGCTAAAAAATTGTGGTATGCTAAGAAATAGAGAAGAAAAATCCATAAATTAAATAAGACGATAGCATTGCAAGAACTGCATTTAGAGGAGGGGAAAAGTACAACCTGCAGCAGATGTAAGCTTAAAAAACTAACCCACAGTGACTCAGAGGTCACATTTTTTTCTGCAACTGTAATGTCTCTCCCTCTTTTTCTCTTTTTCATTAACTACAGCAAATGCTCTTCTTCAGAAAGCCTCTTCTCCTCTCTGTAAAACACATGTAATTTTTACGACCCGTGGAATCACCGTACTTCAGCACCCGTCTGACTCATCGTGTGCTTCTCCACCTTGTAAGAGAGATTTGTGTGCCTGGACGGACCGTAACCCCCAGGGTCACTGTGTTGTGGACCCAAAAGGAGATCTTCACTGCAACTGGATGATTTGCACTTGTTATTTTATTTACCTGTTTATTACAGTTCAGCGTACCATCTGCAGCGAGCTACTCAGGAGATGCTCATGCAGTGGCCACCCCTGCAGTGTGCTGTGGTGGGAACAAAACTAGTTTTAACCTAGCTACAGGCAGCACAAGGTGTGGGCTGAAGGGTCTTTCCACAAAGCTTAAAGCTCGTCCGAGCGTTTCTACTTCAGCCATACTTGCTGCTGCAAAGGAGTTCTGCCTAACTGCATAGTTACCAGGGGCTCTGCCCCCAAAATTCATGCAACCCTCATGCAAATCTGCACAGACTTGTTTGAAACTCCAATTAAAAAAATTTAGTTCCTTCTTGTAATCGTCAGTAGATATTCACAGCCTCAAGCACTTTTAAGTAGTAGCAGTTCAGGAGTCAAATGCATGTAAACAGATACAGGGATTACCCAGTACTCATCTCTTTCCCGGTGAAAGACTGAAAATAGGTTCGTCAAGTTCCGCAGCAAAACGCGAAGGATGATTTAGTTAACAGAAAGCCGATTAAATCTCAGTATATCTGGTCTCTCTCTCAGATCAGTCAGCCCTGCTGAATAACTTTGGAAAATAAACAATACATGATGCTCTATATCTCAATTTCCACTCTCTAAAGTAGGATGATGTATTCATAAGTGTTGCAGATATAAAAATCCATTAAAAAGGAGAATGCAAACCCAGCCAGACAGCTACTTCAATATTCTGCTACAGGTAAAATGTTCAAAATTACTAACACTTTCTACAAATACACTGCAGCAGTTACCGCTGGCTCTAACGACGAACCTTCCCAACAGCAGACTGCCAAAATACAGATCTAGAAGGAGCACGAGTAAAGTTAAGGCCATACATTTTGAGTTTCCAACAGCGGCCCGCTCAAGCGCAAGGATCTTTGTATTCAGCTTCAGGACACAAAAAGCAACAGTGGGAATTATGCTGGTGATTAAATTAGCACCCACCACTCTGAGCTGTTCTTTACCAATCACGCATCATAATCTAAACAACTGGAGAATAAACATCTATACCAGCATGTGAGATAAAAACCAGCATTTGACTGCATTATGTAGCACTGACTCTACTGAAAAATAAATGATTGCAAGGAAATAACCAAGTGTGCCTCTTTTTAATTTAAAAATCTCAACAAGCAGAACGTGTAACAAGAACTAAAGACAGATTTATTTCATCATAAAAGCACCTGCCACTATTGTGCCAACCTGCTTGCCGTGAAGAGTACGAGGATACAAAGGTGTCAGTGGAGTGTAAAACAGCAATTGTCAGAGCTTGAAAATATATTATGCCAATTTTAAGCACTGCTTGAAGGAATATAACAAGAGCAGCAGCTCCACTTGTATTTACAACATGCAAATCACAAAGCTACAAGCTGTATTCCTATGAACAGTCCTTAGAAAAGTAGCTTTAACGCAGTGAAAGTAACTATGATACATTAGTCAGGCGGATAAAGATTGCCAAGTAAATCTTTCTTTTTTTGTGCTAAAAACCTGGAAGCTCTTTAGCCTAGCACAGGGTTAACTCCAGGGAATAATCTTTGAAATAGTTTATGTCAAAGTCTTTACTAACTTCTGTTGATTAGCAGTCAGTTGGCACAGAAAGCACGGAAAGAATGATTTGTAAGCAGCAGGTTTTTTCCAAGTCTGATTACATTAAAGCGATATGTAACTGAAAAAAAAGCTTTCCTCTATTCAAGTCTCTATTGCAGTGCTATAACTATTTCTGCATTGTTTTTTGGTTTTTGTTCAAGTTAGTGTTTTAAGGGATACTGGATTTCTTGGGCAAAGCAGGCACTAGCCAGAGCGATTTTGCTTACAAGCCTAATAAAATGTTGCTCCTCAAAGGCAGGTCTGTAGTGCTTCTGCCACGCAGTGTTCAGAAGAGGAACAGAGCCACTATTTTCTCCCAATTTACCTTCATCCTTATTTAAAAATGTACAGAACAAAGGCATTCTACAAATTTAACTAGGTTTGGGGGGTTTAAAAAATATTCTAGGCAAGGAATTTTTGTCTTGCACACTGATGGCAATGGCTTTGAAGGGAGCGATCTTTTTGGCACAGGCCGGGTGATGCTGTAGGCACTGCTGGCCAGGAGTTCAGCATCTAGTGCTTTAGCACAGCGTTGTTCAGGCGTGGTCTCAGCAAGCAGATGAGGAAGAAGAAGGGAGAAATCACCCAACAAACCCTTGTACTCTTCTTGAGCATTCTCACTCATCACCTCTTATGGAAGTGTATTGATTTTAGGAAAGCTGGGAAATTGGTCAATACAATAACCAGATGCTAATATCTTGGATGTTCTCCACAGGAACAGGTAAATGCCAAACCTGGTGGTAACCAGGGGAGGGAATGGGCAAACCTTGCCTGTCTTCATGGCGACTGAAGCACAGAGCAAGGGCACAACTTGCCACCATTAATTTTCAAACCAGGAGTTCTGCTAAATAATCCCCAAAATCCACCTCTCCACTTCAGGAGGTATCTCAAAACATTACGCTCAAGTCCTTTGAGAAGACTGGTTGAATGTAAAGCTGATAGCAGCTATCAGTATCAGTTCACTCACAGAGATGACACTTCTAAACCAACTCTAGTTAAAATGCTTACATTTCAGGGACATAAAAAACAGCAAGCATTTTGATCAACCAAAACATGATCGGCCTAAATCAACTTTTCTCTTGGTGTTTTAACTTTTTCCATTGTATTCTGTAATATTTCCTCACTAGGTCATGTCTGACTTGGCTTACAAACCACTCGAGCCTCATCACTGGATTGGATGTCAGTGGAGGCAAAACACGCTTCTGTATTTCCATGAAATTCGAGAGAACAAGGAAGAGCTGATTCCCTGTCCTGTCTATAACATTCATTTCTCAACCCAGAGCAACAAATTCTGCATGTTTTAAATTACATACTATTTTTTAAGGTAGTTTATATTACAGAGTGGACCCCACAATGTAGGTCAATCTAAATATCTAGTGCACAGGACTAGAGCCTAAGATTGTGCTGCTAATAGGCACTTTCAACAGAACATCTTGGGATTGTTTGTGTCTCACTGATAGAAAATATATTACTCATTCCTCTCCCTGGCAACAGGGAAACAGCCTTATCTTTGTTGTCTTTAATGCTGAGATTCAGATCTTCCTTTGCTTTCAAAGACAAGACTTAAGTGGCACCACCACACTTCAGACAGATGAATCATCTGTTATGCAGGGAGATCTTCACACTACAACCAGGTGAGATCATGTATTTCCAAGAATCGATCTCCTGAAAGCACTGGGCAAGTTTGGGAGCAAATCACCAGCTAGTATCAACTGATGTAGTTACAGCAGCACCAAGGTAAATTCATTGCTTTATGCTAGCTAGGGATCTTCCTCCTAATTTTATGTATGTCAGCATGGATCAATATAATCGGTGTTGCCACTGTGCACATTTAATCAATCTGAGTAGCTACATAGTCATGATCCTGTGTTACGGACAGATGGGCTAAAGGGAAGGCTGGATGCCTACATGGAAAATAAACCCTTCAAAAGTTGTTAAATGCAAAGATACCACTTCTGGCTCATGAGGTCACCGAGCCTAAAACTGTCAGAGCGTGAAAGAGCCCCTGGAGAAGCGTCACTAAATACTTGATCTATTCTTATACTCATCTCTAAGCATTGACTTTAAGCTACTGGTAGAAAAGGGACATCAGACTAAATGAAGGTCTTTTCAATTCATGTGTTTAAAGGAATTCTGTAGTAATGAAGTCCCATTATGCTTCCATTCAAAATAAGGAAATTCTGAGGCTTTTTATTGGATTCCCGCAATCGTGCTAACTCTGGCTGGAGGAAAACTGTCTTTGGGCAAATGGGAAGAGCAATAAGAAACCCCTGCACTTGAGGGGGTGGCTTCTCGGGTCTCACGTGAAAAAAAAAAAATTTTAGGTGTTTTTTTAAAAAAAAAAAAAAAAAAAAAAAAAAAAAAAAAAAAGGTATTACTCCTTTCCTTAAGAATTTCACGTTGCCAGCTACTTTACCATATGCTGAAGTGTTACTTTGACATAGGCTGCCCAATAACAGTATTCCTTCTTACCATATATATAGGAAACTCCAACAAGCTCAAAGATGGCAATGATGACAAGAGAATAAGAAGCTGCGTAAGTGTCCACAAGCTGTAACATATACATTCCACCCTAAAGAAAAAAGGACAAAACAGCCATTACTCGTGGCATATACCTGGGGTCTCTTTTCATATGTGTCACAACTCTAACGGGCACTAAGGTAGGCAAAATGGATGGGAGCAGGACCCAGGACTGTCTATCCCAAGCAGCATCCAAACGTTGACCGGCCACAGGCTCGTGCTGCACTATAGTTTCTTCCTTCTGGCGGAATGACTATCAAATCCAACAAGAAAAAAGCAGAGGGTACATCGGAGTCTGGGAGCTAGCACACCTTGGGAAGACGTTGGTTTCAGTCCTTTCAGGTTAAGGACTGAAGTGCAACCAGACCTCCCAGCAGCAGTGTCTCTAACCACTTGTCAAAAGCAAAATCACCATTGAAACCAGAACTACTGTAATAGTGAGTCCAGTTCAACTCTTTGGAAGGGATATAATGCCCTGCCTTCAGGGCACAGGTTAAGCAGTATAATTCAAGGAAAGGAAGGACTGAATCCATCCTAGGCTTTGGAACAGCAAAGTTGGGCCGGTAGGTGATGAAGTGAGGGGAAAGACAGAAAAAGGAGGAAAAAGGATTAATAGCAAGATAGATTTTGTGCACGTCCTCTTGAAATTGCTGTGAGTTTATAATGCTGGAGGAATTAGTGGGCAAAAGAAACTGAAGACTAGCAATGGTAGGTGAAAATTTCATTATTAACTCCACAGTTTGCCAAGACTATCAGTATATATCTAATGTGGGAGGGAAAGCACCCAAAACTGGTGTGCATGACTCACCAACTTTTTAAAAAAATGAATACCTAACTTATATGACTACTTTGGGGATGTTTGCCTAGGGATAAATTTTGGCAGTCTGATTCTCAGAAAGATGGGAACAGCAAAGTCCTTTAAATGTATCTCAGTCTGAGCATCCATAAAAAAAGGCTTTCAGACTCACCGGCTGTCTTTGCGCATGCGGCAGAATTCAGCTTAATCTTTTGCAATTTGCGCAGGAGGAGAACGGCCACCAGAGGGGGACTGGGGACAGACAGTGATGCTCAAAGACAATATTGTTACCTGAGTGATCATAGGAAATCCCATGATGAAAAAGGAGATGCAGCACCCAAGAGTGAACAGTGCCTTGTGCGTACGTAAGTATTTGGGGAACTCATCCGAAACAGAGGTCACTATAGTCTCGATAGTGGCAAACTGAAAGACAAAATAAAAGAATTAATTTCAGCACACACCATGTACACAAAGCGGCCCAGCTGAATACAATGGAATGTGAGAAGGAGTATTTAAAATCCTAGGCATTAAATGCTCAGATGTCAAGACTGAAGCTTCACCCAAATAATTTTAGCATTGCTGGCTTCACATCATTCCTCTTTTTGGAAAGTGGTTCACTGACCTCATGGAAAACAGCAATTAATCTCCTGGTCTTCCAAACAAATAAATAGGAAAAGCAAGAGGAAAAAAATGGGAAACAGTTTACCATAGTGTCCAATCCAAGTGTCAGAAGCATCAGAAAGAATATTATAGCCCAGAACGGAGAGAGGGGAAGCCTGGTTAAGGCTTCTGGGTAAACCACAAAAGCAATTCCAGGACCTAGAAATGAGAAAAATAAAGGCTGTGGTATCTTGCATTGTGTTAATATTATCAACTGAATGGAAAAGAGGGAGACATGACAAGTCATGTTTCAAAGTATAATACAGTATTACTCCACTTGATAAAAGTAAAAAAGATCTGAATCATAGAATGTTTTGGGTTGGAAGGGACCCCTAGAGGTCATCTAGTCCAACCCCCCTGCAGTCAGCAGGGACACCGCTAAAAAGATCAGGTTGCTCAGAGCCCCGTCCAACCTGGCCTTGAATGTTTCCAGGGATGGGGCCTCCACCACCTCTCTGGGCAACCCGTTCCAGTATTTCACCACCCTCATTGTAAAGAATTTCTTCCTTAGATCCAGTCTAAACCTACCCCGTTTTAGTTTAAAACCATTACCCCTTGTCCTGTCACAGCTGGCCCTACTAAAAAGATTTTCCTCATCTTTCCCATAGGCCCCCTTTAGGTACTGAAAGGCCGCAATCAGGTCTCCCCGCAGCCTTCTCTTCTCCAGGCTGAACAAGCCCAACTC